ACAGGGCAACTTTATTTTAACAGACAGACATGAATGAATGGTACTTTGTCACCATATATACGCATTTGCAGGGAATTGGGTAAATACAAGGTGAAAGTTAAAGTTAAACAGCGCATCGATATCATTTCAGCAATATAACGACCGGAACAAGTTCTTGTATAAATATACAGTAATTGTCCAAGAAGAGTCTTGAGAATAAGGTTATATACAAGAGCAAATTTGTCATATCTTATCATTACACATGCTATTTACAAGTTGGGATAGTTACATTGCTTATGGAAGGAGTTACATGTATGTTTTACATCGGGGAACACACTTTCTACGGTACTTCAAGTTGAGATAGTTACATTGATTAAGAAAGAGGTACATGTATATTTTACATCGGGAACATTCTGTCTACGGACTTCAAGTTGGGATAGTTACATTGATTATGAAAGAGGTACATGTATATCTGACATCGGGAACATTCTGTCTACGGACTTCAAGTTAGTTACGTTGGAAAGAGGTAGTTTACATCGATTATGAAAGAGGTACATGTATATCTGACATCGGGAACATTCTGTCTACGGACTTCAAGTTGGGATAGTTACATTGATTATGAAAGAGGCACATGTATATTTTACATCGGGAACATTCTGTCTACGGACTTCAAGTTGGGATAGTTACATTGATTAAGAAAGGGGTACATGTATATCTTACATCGGGAACATTCTGTCTACGGACTTCAAGTTGGGATAGTTACATTGATTAAGAAAGAGGTACATGTATATCTGACATCGGGAACATTCTGTCTACGGACTTCAAGTTAAGATAGTTACATTGATTAAGAAAGAGGTACATGTATATCTTACATCGGGAACATTCTGTCTACGGACTTCAAGTTGGGATAGTTACATCGATTATGAAAGAGGTACATGTATATCTGACATCGGGAACATTCTGTCTACGGACTTCAAGTTAAGATAGTTACATTGATTATGAAAGAGGTGCATGTATATCTTACATCGGGAACATTCTGTCTACGGACTTCAAGTTGGGGTAGTTACATTGATTATGAAAGGAGGTACATGTATATCTGACATCGGGAACATTCTGTCTACGGACTTCAAGTTAAGATAGTTACGTTGCTTATGAAAGGAGGTACATGTATAAAAGTTGGTATTGTTACAATGATTATGAACTTCAACCTCCTTCATAGAGTTTTCGATAGACTCTGTTGATAAATCTTTAAAAGAATTACAAAAACATACAATCATATACAAGGATGCACGTCACGTAAGGTCATTTTTCATCGGGAATGATGTTGGATGCAGAATAATCAGAAAAACCAACAGCACACATCTATCTGTTCGCTCAAACCACTATTTGAATAATTATTTGTAAATAGTCCCTTTCTAACTGTTCAAAGGCAAATTTAGCACTGTCCAGAAAGTCATAGAAAATATAAGCTAGCCATGATTAAAAGAAGTATACAGTTATAATCTTACTATTTCCTGAGCATGTGTGACAAATAGATATTTAATATAATGATAGTGGTTATACAAGGCGTCTCGCTAAAAGTTGAGCGTATCCCGTCGAAAACACATACAAAGGCAGATCAGTTGTGTGTCTGGAAAGACTGGAGTTTATGTTGCAGATCAAAAGGGAATATAATTTTGGTCTGCTTTTAGAAAACATAAAGTTTAGTGAACCTTCGAAATTTGCAACGCTGATCAAATAACTTTTGAGTCTTATGCGGCTCTTTGAAATCTTCACTGAAAGGGCATGCTCGATTGTATCTCGAAGGTTGTGAAGTGTAGAGACGTTCATGCTATAGCTGTTGGGAGATTGCACAACATGCATTCTTGTGGGTAGTGTTTTGTCACTCTTTGTCATCGTTACGTTCAGATCTAAAAAATGAGGCAGTTTAGCTGGTCGCTTTTATTTCTAGCGCAGGTGGGAAAATCAGCGGAAGGGAATTGGCCATTTGACCATTATTGAACGATAATGGTTGGAAAACTTAGCGATTAAAGGAACGGCTCATTGGGTCCGATTACCGGCAAAGCTCACTGTTTGAAACTCGTTCTCTCGGGTATTGTTGGAATTATATTAATAGTGTAGTACAGTCATAATCATTCCAGGAAAATGTGAAAGAAACTCCATCTAAATGGACACCAGTGAGCTATTGCTTGCCCAATTGTCTTGAGAATACAAACATCCCAAAAGCATATTTGACCCTGTCAATGGGATAATGGCTTGCAATCTAATATTACGTAGCTTGCAGGAATTTGACTGGTTGTAAACGGACAAACACCTTTTAAAAATAGCAAATCATGTGTAAGCAGTTAATTACTTTCTGAAGTTCGCACCAACACAAAATGTAAAATTGTATTATTTCACCATAAACTGATTTAAATCTGACAAATAATTCTATGGCTTAAGGACTTTATTACGACCCTTGTCTGTATGTGATTGCCATGACGATAACAATAACACAGCTTATTCTGACAAATAATTCTATGGCTTAAGTACTTTATTACGACCCTTGTCTGTATGTGATTGCCATGACGAGAGACAACAATAACACAGCTAATTCTGACAAATAATTCTATGGCTTAAGTACTTTATTACGACCCTTGTCTGTATGTGATTGCCATGACGAGAGACAACAATAACACAGCTAATTCTGACAAATAATTCTATGGCTTAAGTACTTTATTACGACCCTTGTCTGTATGTGATTGCCATGATGAGAGACAACAATAACACAGCTAATTCTGACAAATAATTCTATGGCTTAAGTACTTTATTACGACCCTTGTCTGTATGTGATTGCCATGACGAGAGACAACAATAACACAGCTAAGTCTGACAACAGTCTACTGATCACTCTTCAAAATACCAACATCAAGTTTACACCCGGTCGGGTATTCTGCACGACGAGTAATTATTAATGATCTGGGCAACAGATCAAAAACCGTATCATATATCCAATAATTACAGGGATGGCCATTCGACTTATAAAAGACCCAATTTTAATTCTGAATTTTTATAGCGAACAGGTCGTTGTACTGTTCTGATAAAACCAGTTAACTCTAATTAAAAGTACTCCCCCTCCATCAACAGAAATAGGTCGATTCCGTGTGTGCTAAGTGCTTACATCCGTACAACACGTGTCAATGCTTTATTCAAACCATTCATCGCGGAGAAATCCAATAGTTCCAACCATCAAAACCATGCCACTTTATTCATTAATATCATTCTTGACCTACATATCGCAGACGCTGGCTAGACCCCAAAGTAAGTAAGGACAGAAATCTAACCTACACGAGATCGCTGGGACAGGAAAAACCATAAAGTTTTTCCTTTCCAATAAAACTGCCAGAAGATGGGAAATCTTCGCGCGGCAGCTAGAGTTTCCCTAACCAGGAATATCAATAATATTCGTTTCCATGATTGACTGTCCGATCGCAAGGAATTGAAAGGAGGCACGGCGAAATCTTCAAGGTTAAACGAATCGTGTTATTCGCAACCTCACACGTTCTGACGTCTCCTGTTCGTTATGGGTACGACGTGAATGAGTTTCTTATTGTAAGTCGGTGAAATAAGAGAAATGTTATTGCGACCCTTTCATTACGGAAAGAGGCGTGTAATCTAATTGTTGCCTCTTGAATCAATCCCGTTACAAGTAAATTAAATAGACAGTGTCGCGGTTTTGCGATTCATTTGGGACAATATACGTGAAAAGTAACGCCTGTCGGTTTGGCCTGATGACATTTATATGCAAGATGACAAGTAATAAAGACGGATTTTGGACAATCGTGGAAACAAGCAGGCTTAGTGAATCAACACTTTTGTTAAAGGCTTGCAAGTGATCGTTTTGTATCTAGTGTCACACAGAAAATTATGCTACTGTTGCTTGTGGGCGGTATTGTCGTAAATAAGTACATGTTTACCACGTGTTTGCTTGTTTGTTGTTTAATAATCTAGTCCATGTCATGGTGGTATGTGATACTCTTGAACAAGCATCCATGTTTGACAATATGAGCATTTATGTACGGAAATCAGTTATGATGACACGTGTAAACCAAATTAGTGAGACTGATCACCCGATCCCGCTAGTCGCCTCGTATGGCAAGCATACAGAAGGCTAGTTCTAAACTGTACTTGACGGGTATATATTCATTACTGATGTTCAGGAACATAATACAAATTTGGATAGTTTAGAAAGACTGTGTCGACATCACGTCATAAGTTACCACTAACGAAAGAATTATTTTTTCCAGATCTGAAGTTTCCTTTAAAGTACACGTCTAATTAATCACCCCTCGAGATATCTCTTCATACCCGGTCCTTTATGAGGAATCGATGAAATATAGCTTTGTTTGAAGTTGAAAATATCAATCAGAGATGCACTCTTTAAATGTCTTCATCGCATCATATAAGGTATTTCTGTCTGTTTTTATTTTGCAGTCATTATCCTTCATCTCGAGGAGATTCCGCAGCAGTTCATATTACAGCTTGCATATGTCACGTTTCAAATAAGAAAATATCACAAAGACATTAACATCTGACAAATGGCTTCATTTTATGTATTTTGTTCTTCCCTTCATCGATTTTCCGATGGAATTGCCAATTAATCGCCAGCGAAAGTCACGGTATCACTTTTCTAATCATGTGTATTCAACTAATCCATGGGGATGCCATCTGATGCTCGGAACGAATTTGGTTCTGAAATGATCTTGGTAATTTTGATATACCTTAATTGAGGGTAACCCCAGGTCGCAACAGGTAACACAGACAATGGTCGTCCTAACCCGTGATTGCTGTGTGTGTATTATGTCTAGAACAAGATCCGTGCTACATGATCACCATTGTTTTTACACCTGTCAACATTACCCTATGTAAGCCGTGTATGTACTCTGCGCTAATCACAGATATAATTATATCAATGTCATGGCAATGGCAATAAAGTACGAAGCACTACGCACATGGAGAATATACATGTATGAGATACATACCGGTTTCCGTACCGAGAGATCCGGGTGTTCCCTGTGGACGATGTTGAAGAGTCGACATCCGTAACACGGTGCATGGAAATCCCCACGTGTTGAGGAACACCCCATAAGTCCTATGAAGAGGATTTGGATCACTTGGACATGAGGCTCCATGGTTAGGGTATCTGTGTCAGTACGAGATATATTGCTCTCCAAAGCATGCACGTCAGGACATCATATCACATCTATTACACTCTTCACTGTTAAGCTATGTCATCTCGACTTTGTCATTTCATTATCCATCGACCAAAAAATTGTCGTCTGCTGTGATGCTTGAATTTGCAGTTATTACTTCTATGAAGAGTGTTCAGTCCGCAGACATGCCTTGGGCCAGGCACATCCGATAGCGACCTAAATGTGCACCTTCCGAGTTCGAATCGTTTGTCGTCTGCTCGAGCACTGGGAATTCAATCTATCGTCTGCTGCTCTCTTCGCGTATTCTCATACCGTCTGCGCCGAGAGCCGCGTGTACAACTGACTCACTTTGTCGTTAGACGAGTATCCAATAACTGGCGTATTTTATTAAACATACGTAGCTTGGTGTAATGACAAGAAAATCGAAACGCTTGTCTTTGGATTTCCGAATATCCCGCAGAAAAACAGTCCACAGTGCTACACAATCCGGTATATTAAATCATCTACTTTGGGTCAAAATCTTCTTATCTGTCACAGAGATGATTAATCAATGCTACAAGCGGAGTAAGTGTTCGCGGAGATAGAACACAGCCAATTATCTATCTCATGGAAGAAGAGAAGCGGTAGACTCGGTCCACACACAAGGCCATATCTTGCTGCAACTTCAAAGACGATAGCTACAAGTATATGCTTCACGAAGCGCGGAAGTTCTTAAGACACAATACGATAGGTCTTATCGTCTCGGGACTTCCTCAATGCAACAAAGCCTGATACCAGGGCGTTAGACCTAGGCAACAGTCTGTTGCGTACTGAACGTGCTCTCTACTCCTCGACTCGAGGCACGATCTGAGCCTTCTGCTACAAGTTAGCGCCAATTAAAAGTGGACAATATTCTTCTAATTTGTAGCAATCGCCCGCCGGCATGAAGCCGTACCGTAAAATGAATCTCCGGACCGGTTTGGCATGAAAACGTGGAAACTCAACTATCGACCGATGGGAGGTACTTCAAGTGTCTTCTGCACGGTTCGCGGCAAATAACAAGCATGGAACTCCCAGTCGACCTGCATAACGCTGGCGGTGAAGACCCATGCTCAATGTTCAATATTTGGAGTTAATTTGCATCACACGCGTCCAGATCAAACAATATCGATCAACTTCGGGTGGGACAGTGTCAGGGTTGTTCTGTAGGGCATGTGCAATTCACAGTGGAGGTCCTTTGTCAGGAAGAGGGTGATTAGATTATACAATCGACAATCCGGTTGGAAATCAAGTGAACAGAATACTTCTTCTCCAAATCGAGTCAGTTACCCAAAATCGTTAGTGTTTCATTAAATAAACATCATTGTTTTTCAGGGAAATTTGGTAACTCTCTAATTTGGGTAAAGGGATCTGTTGGCGTGACTGTAGCCCGGTGGAAACAGAGGGCGTCTGGGCAAGGAGACACACTCTCTTTGAAGGCAGCAATTCTGGAAGTTTTTCGACTGAGGGCCTCCATGACCCGATCGTTATCGCGCACGTTCAATATGCTCCGTCTGTTGGTGAATAGCAAGCCGTACAATTAGAGAAGTTTTAAACTATTTGTCTCACTGAAGGAGACATTCCAATCCTGTTTAACAGTGAAGGGATATTTTTGGATAGTTTCGAATGCCTGGTGCCAACTTTCTTTCAGTGTCGTTTGATAATTTAATTACCATGTGCTACTGCATGTTGAGTTAAGTTGCCAATTGGACAACGTGATAGCATTACTGTGATCAGTTTCTGATAATTTCGCTTGAGCACATGTTAGATGATTTTGCATTTGTTTCAAGTCATACTCCTCAGAAGAAATAAAAGAAATCTGATCGTTCAGTCTCATTCTGTCGTATCAGATAAACTATAGCTTTATGATAAATACGATTTTGATTTATTAAAACATTGATTTTTTCGGGCGTTGTTTGGGGAGTAAACATTTCAGCAATATTGTCAACAAAACGTGTTGATTCCGGTTATGGATACGTCCCAAGTATGATAGACGTATACATGTAAGTATGATAATACTTACGAGTCGGCTAAGCTGGGCCTTGTGGTCACCTGGCCTGATTGCTTCGCTCGTTACATGTCAGACTGACCATATGGCGTAGATCGTTGAGTCTTGTGTCGGTGCCAGGTTTTCTTTGTCAAGAATCGGCTACATGCTGGTCACGATTATGGCAGAGTATGGCAATGAACACTCAGTCATCAAGTCATGTATTGTCATACGATGTCCCAAGGAGCTTAAACCGCCTCCGTGGTGTAGTGGTTAGAGCGTCCGCCAGGAGTGCGGAAGGTCGCGGGTTCGATCCCCGACCGCGTCATACCAAAAGACGTTAAAATATGGTACTTGTTGGTCCCTGCCTGGCGCTCAGCTTTACTGGGTACAACAAGGACTGGTCGGCTCGGAGTCAGTATAATGTGTCTGAGTGGGGTATTCATGCTTCACTGCGGCATGGTATCACAGTGGGCTAGCACTATAAAACCAGCTTCAGTCTGGGCTAGTACAAGCAGCCGCACATACACATACACACGCATGCTCGTCATCATTTGAGCGAAATATTCTCAAGCACGACGTTAAACCCAATTCCACCACCACCACCCAAGGAGCTTAAACTTCGTGTTGTATACGTTCATAAACAGACATCGTTAAAGATTCATTACTAACTATTTTGGACAAGAAGCTGACGAAGGCATTTGTTCAAAACAGCTGCTGACCCAGATATGTTTTATGATTAAAACGATGCCTAATATTAGCCTACATATTCTTGCAGCAATGTATTTTTGTGACTATGTAATGTTTTTACGTATAGATTGTGAACTGTCCAAATGCTACAGCAGTCATATTGGAACACAGTTTAAAAAGTGTTAGCACGTTGTGAATTGAATTTTGTTTTTGTTGAATTGAAATGCGTAGTTTACATTGAGGAACTATGTCATGTACAACAATTACCGTTGCTAATAACGTCGTGGAAACTATAAAGAAATATGTTTAGGTATCGAAAGAAACAGTACCAGCACCATCAGAAGAAAATCTATTTAGGCTGTTCAATTATTTGTGCATTACCATAGCAACGGGACAATGTTTCTACAAATAAACAATAGTAGTATGTATGATCTGATAGCTGCATTTAAAATGCATGGTGGTTTTACATTTAACATTTCTATAATATATTTAATGCAGGGATGCCGATAATGGTAAAGATGAATTATTAATTCAAATAGTTGTACTCCAGTTTTAATTACTTCCGCATTGGAATGGACCGGTTCCAGATCGATTATCATCAACATTTTACTAGTGAAAAGTGGAATCATTTTATTCTTATTTCCACTTATAAGTTTGTTCTTTTGTTTAACGCACCACTCAGCAATATTCCAGCTATATGACTTCAGTCTGTTAATACATCCAACCTGGACCAGACAATCCAGTGATCTACAATATGAGCTTCGATCGACGCGATTGGGATAGGATGACATGTGTCGACCAAGTCAGCGAGCCTGACCACCCAATCCCCATTAGTCGCCTCCTGTGACAATCATGGGTTGCCGAAGACCAATTCTAACCAGGATCTTCATAAGGTTATGATATATAAACAGGTATAGTATCAAACACACCATTGACATGAAACGTACGATATAATATGAAATATATGCGTTTTCGGTAAAGCAAATGAATGATTTATATTGATGTGTATCCAAGGAACGTGTACGCTTTTTTGTAACAAATGAATTATAGATATGCTTCGTGTATCAAAGAAAGTAAGGAAATCCAAGGAAATGGGAAGCGTGTACATTATACACGACCTATTTTTGTATGGATGGATGTACAATAGCAGTAGAGGGATGTAAGCGTATATAGACGCACAAGGGCCGTTTATAATGTAGACATTGTTACATGGAAATATACTTCGGCAGGTGAGTGTAGATGGTGGTTCATGAATACACACAGACATACATTATATGGGTGTAGATTGGTGGTATAAGAGTGGATATACAATATCAGTATAGGGGTATGAATGAGTGAGTTAATTTTACGCCGGTTTAGCAATATTCCAGCAATATAACGCCAGGGACACCAGAAAAGGGCTTCACAGATTGTACCCATGTGGGAAATCGAACCCAAGTTATCGGCGTGACGAGAACGCTTTAACCACTAGGCCACCCAAACCCACCGTCCGGGGTATGAACGAATGGATAAATGAAGGTATGTCTCTACTTAGTCCAGATAAATTCCAAGATTACCATAAAAATATTGAGTATTTGTACTATGAAATATGCAGACATTAGATGGTAGAATATGGATATACAACGGCAGTATATTTGTGTAGATCCATATACAAGAGTAATGTGTGGGTGGTATATTAACCTATACGGACAGTATATGGCGTGAGTGGGTGGTATAAAGATGTAGAAGTTATACAAGGGCAGTGCATGGGTGGTGAGTTAAGGCGAAATGGGTTTAAAGTCGGACTTAAGAATATTTCGCTCATATGACGACGTGCATGCGTGCGTATGTGTGGCTGCTGGTACCAGCCCAGACTTAAGCTGGTTTTATAGTGCTAGCTCACTGAGGTACCATGCCGCAGTGAAGCATGAATACCCCACTCAGACACCTTATACTGACTCCGAACCGACCAGTACTTGTTGTACCCATTAATGCCGAGCGTCAGGCAGGGACCAACAAGTACCATATTTTAACGTCTTTCGAACCCGACCTGACTCGGGGATCCAACCCGCCACCGTATGTGCGTATGGGTGGTATATTCATATACAAGGTTTACAGATGGTGGTATATGCATATACAATGACGATATCCGAAGGCGTATTGGTGGTACATGGCTATACAACAGAATGTAGGGTGAAGCTGGATGGTGAAGGATACAAGGTCATTTAGGATATAAGACGTGTTTTACATGGGCGTACAATGGAAGTACATTAGGTAGACAGTGTTCTTGGATATTCAAGAGCGACCAACACAGGTTGGTTGGTTCGTTGATTTAGTTTTACGCCGCACTCAGCAATATTTCAACTAAATGGCGGCGGTCTGTAAATAATCGGGTCTAGACCAGGCAATCCAGTGATCAACAGCATCAGGATCGATCAGCAGCAATTGAGATACGATGACGTGTCAACCAAGTCGACGAGAATGGGTTGCTGAAAACCAATTCCAACCAGGATCATAGGTATAGTAGTTGGTGTATAGACATGCAGGCGCATAGGGCATACAATACATGATGTTAAGTATATGTTTAGAGGGTTTTTATCTGAGTACATAATGGTTGCATATAGCCTAGAGCGACCTTGACACGGCGAACAGTGTCCCATGAGATTAGATCCTGAAGCCGTATGAAAAGAGGGTTTATGGCTTTACAAGGGTGGTGTTGTAAAATGCAAGAATTTTTATCAATGATTCCATACCATTTACATTTTTTGCAAACGAACAACTCCAGTTAGAATTCCTGCGAATATTTATGCTAATGTGCAAAAATTACTAACGATTATCAGATGAAGTGGACTGTTGCCGTTTAAGCAACAACTCCGATAGGTTAAGATGAAGCGCCACTAAAAGATTTCTTCTGGTCAGGTATATTCGGAATCTGAGAGATCAATAATAACGGACCTGAGAATCAAGTCTTGCAGCGTTTGGAGATGTCACATCCCTGGCGTTCAGACATTCTGACAACATACTTGGTTACAGCAGCTCTCATTATTTTAACCGGGCAAAACAGCTGTTTTCTAGCTTGTAATGCTTCATTTATTTATTTTTTCTAAGTTTATAGGCATCACGTTTAAACCTTAAAGGATCTGCTTGGCTTTGGTATTCAAAGGAATGTACATGTGCCTAAGACAATAAACTGTACAGAAGGCATGTACACTGTATGTCCATGTATCACAGTGTATATAACTAAGTACAACTTAACTGTAGTGTTTAAATTCCAAGATAGCATTTTGATGTTTTAGCAGAGATTTCTACTGGATAGGGAAAAGGTTTTGTCGCTTCTATTATACTAAACCGTGATACATGCCATATTGCTTTACTGTTCTTTGTTGACCGATCTGCAATTACAACTAGCTTGTTCTCATCACTATCTGGCTTC